ATTTTCAGCGGGAAGAAAACTCTTTATCTAAGTAAATCATACATATTTGGATGCAGCGCATCAAGCTGCATCGGATTCGATAAAATAATTCACTAAAAAAATTGGTCGAGTGTTGCATTAGCCCAACCTTGCTTGAATAGTTAAAATAGTTGCACACTGGAATACTCAACATAGTGGAATGCATAGTTCAATTCAATTTTTAAGTGATACTTGAGTAAATTGCTGGAAATATCAGCTTGATCGAAGAAGGTCACCATATTTGCGAGATATTTCTGTTATAACTATGCATGTACTAAATATAAAACGTTTGAATTTTGCTAAAAATTGCTTGTATCTGGTTTAAGAAGTGCAATAACAAATAAAAGACACAAGTTGCAATTACAGATATCAGTATTCACTAAGCATGAACAACGAAGTATCGATGGAAGACAAAACAACATCGAATTGGGTTGATGTCAAAGAACAGATGTCAGGCAAAGCTCTAGAAATGTTTGGTTCATGGATAAACAATATTGAAAAGCTAAACGAAGAGTTTGCCAATGCCTGTCCATTTCCGAATGTAGTGCTTCAACAATTTTTTGTCCCAGAAATGGCTGAGAAATTGTATCAGTCATTCCCGAAAGTTACTGCGGAGCACAAATGGATACTTTATAATAATCCAATCGAGAGAAAATATGCCTTAACGGATTTCACTAATCTCCCACAATTTAATAATCTATTTTTGGCGTTACAAAGCAGCGAATTTGTCAGTATTATCAAGAAAATTAGTGGTATTGAAAATCTAGAGTCAGATCCGCATCTTCATGGTGCTGGATTGCACCAACATGCTCCAGGCGGTAAACTTGACATGCACCTAGACTATAGTATTCATCCAATAACTGGAAAAGAGCGCCGAGTCAATTTAATTATTTATTTAACTAAAGATTGGCTAGATGAGTATGAAGGGGCTATTGAGCTGTGGAATTCAGAATTCACTCGTTGTGAAAAGAAAATTTATCCATCATTTAACAATGCAGTACTCTTTCGCACTTCGGATGTCTCTTATCATGGTCTACCTTTTCCAATCAAATGTCCGCAAGATAATTCGCGCAAGTCAATTGCTATTTACTACGTTTCCGATCCTCGATCAAATACTGATAGCGTTCGTTACAAGGCGCAGTTTCGGCCTTTACCCACACAACCTGTCAACGATAATCTAAAAAAACTGTATCTCGTGCGGGAGAAACGTATTATTACCAAGGAAGATTTAGAAACAATCTATCCCAATTGGGAATCGGATGGTAATGGATATTGGTAGTTTCGAAAACTTTTTAGCTGTTGCCTTTGACATTTACAGTTCAGCATTTAACCTATGTGAGACAGACAAGCCCCGTTAATCTCGCGACTCGTATAACCACCTTTCACACACATTTGGGAGGAGTTGTCAATGAACGAGTTATTATATGGCCAAATATATTCTCGCGTCTCTTTTTAAAGTTTCTAAGACCGCTCCACAGAGTGCTAGGTATTTCTATGCCGAAAGCGTATAGAAGAGAAACGAAAATCTTTCGAGTAATATCAAACTTATCAATGTAGATGTCGTTGAAGAACTGAAAACAAGTCTCTCTCATTAATAGATGTTAGTGCTTCTACGTTATGAATTTTGTTCGGGTCACTACACTGAAAAAAAAAGGTAGTCCAGCAAGCCATTCCGGTTTAGTGATGGCCCACCAAAATGGTTTCGTCCTGTTATTGGCAAACCATTGAAAGGTTCAGCAGCGCGTATACTGAACTTTTTACGTTTCATATGTCTGGTACAAAACCTGTTATAGTTCCGTAGGGCACATAAAGGTTTCGAAACAGACTTACGAAGCCATCAGAGGCTCCATATAGGACCTCCCGAACCATCGAGAATGAGAATTCATCACAGCCGCCCAAATCGATATAGTCTATGAGCATGACCCCTTCCTGTGAGTCTCTTGTATCAGGGGATGTGATGAAACATCCAGCTACCGACTATATCGTAAGCTGAATCCACTAGTCGAGCGAATGGTCTGATGTAAGATCAAGACTCACGTCGCTGAACCTACCTGGGGTGACTGGAAGGGATGAGAGATGAAGAGAATGGATGTGGATGAGATGATAAGGGTGTTTTATTGGATGAAATCGAATAAAACACTAAACAAAACGATAACAAAAAGACTGATCGAAAGGAGACAAACAACAACATCTATACAGATCGGAGATGATCTGAGAAAAAAATTGAAAAAGAAGAAATACAATCACAGAGATCATCATGAGAACGGACATGATAATCAAATGATAACTAAAACGACAGGAAAGAAAGAGAAAAAGAAACACATATTGTATATGTATAGAAATGCAAGAAAACAACTATGTAGAAGGTAGCGTCATGAAGTAATATCCAATGACGCTAACACTTCTGAACCAACGCAATTGACTACTATCGAAATTTTTATAAAAGGCAGGTGGAAGAAATCTTTGTAACTTTTTATTGGAAACTTATTTAGACCTGCAGTTTTCACCATTCGTCAGAGGAGGGTCGGGGACAGATACCTGTGCGGGAAAGTCACCATTCACAGCTCTTCGTATAGTGGACTCTCGCTGACGAAATTTATCAGGCGTTAGCAGACGTTTTTAAGGACTTTTTTTTTAATGATGCTGGTACTCCAACATGCCCACTGCAAGTTGGTATCGACGGAATATTTCTATTTTCCTTCCTGGAAATACCAGTGATATTTTAACATTGAAATTATACGAGGAATTTCTCACTGAGAAACGAAATTTTCCTAAACATATACTCAAATTACAACTTTTTCTGTATATGAAGTATTATGAAAAATAATTTATTCTTTTCTAAGTCTTACATCTAGACTGTTTAGTCACTCTCTGATCATGTGTTTGTCGATATATAATGACATCACAGAGAGAACACGACAAATGTACGTATTTGTGATACCCAGGTCCATCGATCCGACCGGAAGATCCGGCAGTATTCAATCGGATCCGGCATCGGATTGCATCAGAATTCACAGGATTCCCATACAAAACCGATCGGAACCCCACCGGTTTTCACCGGAAACCTAACCAACGGATTCCGACTCGGATCACGTCGGAAAGTATCCGATCAGAAACAGTCGGATTCA